AGGATGCCACAGTGGAACTTGGGAGCATAGGTTTCCATATTCATATCACCCAATCAATTAATTATATATTGTGATTATAAAAGAAGACATGATAAATAAATCATACTCTAGAAAATCCTTTTTTTAACTGGGGGAAAATGCACAGAAACTTTTCTCAGAAAATATGAGAGAAAAATCAAATAATGCTCCCACAATAATATTAATAGTTATAATCATAAGAGAATTAACAACTATCCAGAGATACAAGCATGTCAACAACTTTAGTCTTCAAATTTAAGATGTCAGAACTATTTTAGCTTGGTATAATGACCCTGAAATAAAACTCTAGAAGATCTAAACTGTCTTGTAGTTTAATTTTTGAAAATGGTGTTTGATTGTGAAACACTGTGAAACAACCCTACAGCTGATGTAATTTTGCTTCATAAACCACTTTCAGCTCCCTTACACAAGATTTAATGAATAAAACAGTTTCTAGGGATATGATTCCCATAACTTACATCCTAATTTGCCTTAGTATTCTCTGAGAAATATTTTTTGAATAACAATGCCATGGTAAACATAGCTCTTAGACTTGGGTTACATAACCTTCACATAGTTGTTTTGTTTACTAATTAAACATATTTATCATATTTATCATATTTAACATTAGACCCATTGGAATTCAGTGGTGGCATATGATCAAAAGACTTGCATTTTTTATTTTATCTATGAAAAGATTAACACTTTGATTGTTCAATACTGTAAATTTATCATAAAATAATAATTTAGTTTACTTTACACAAAGAGTAACTAAAGCATACACTTCTGGGAGAGGGGAAAGAAGGGGAGAGAAGGGATGAAAAAAATACCTAAGATGTGTTACACTTGTGTATCAACTCCCCATGATGAATGTAATCTTTATATATGGCAAACATGTACTAATAAAAAAAAGTGCATGATTTTGTTTGTACATTGACTTTTATAAAGCTCTTATCAAAATCTATGAGATTATCCAAACTTGAAAGGGTAAATCAGAGATATTCAAACACTTTTTGTTTACAGTTTTTTCAGTTTGTGTGATTTCTTTTTTATATATTTTTTCTTGTAACTAGACCAGGTCATTTCAACTTTAAACCATGGTAAACATCGTGCCATTTCTGTATGGCTTCAATTAATAAAAAAGGAAAAAGGGCCAGGAATTTAGCTCAGTTGTTTCGCCTCCTGCTGCGCAAGCAAAAGGACCCGAGTTCGATCCCCGGTACCAAAAAAAAAAAAAAGGAAAAAAAAGACTCTTAAAGGCATCATCTTTTATATTAATTAATTAAAATTGTTCAAAGACAAATATTTGTTTTAAATAACCCCTCTGAAATCTTGTGTAAAATGTTTTGCACCAATAAACTAATATAGTTCTATGATTTTTATACTAAAATTGGAAAATTGTGAGATAGCTTTTGTTGCTTTTAATCTTAGGAAGAAAGAACTCAAATGTCACTTCTTCAAAGAAATTATCTCAAAACTCCCCATATGGTTTCCACTTATTAAGTTATGCTACAATATTATTTTGCTACCATTAACCCAGTTGTCAAATGTACATTTATTTTATGTTTAATTTATTTTTAAGCACCATATTGAGACCTATAAAAGCCATCCATGTGATTTTATATTCCATTCATTTACTACCGGCCCAAGTAGATCCATATTACTAAGGGCACATAAAATGTTCTTTCGGATCCCTTCCCATTTGCAAGAGGTCCATCCCTTGTCTCCTTCCATCCATCCTTTATTAATCTCTGCTTAAACTTTGCCTTACTCAAATGAGAGATACCATACTGTATTTAAGCTTATGTGTCTGGTTTATTTCAATCAAAATTATATTTTCCAAGTGCATCTGTTTTCCCACAAATGTCTTTAATTTGTGCTTCTTTATAGTCAAATATTATGTATAGATAACACATTTACTTTATCCTGTGGTATATTGTTAGATACACGGACTGCTTCCAGTATTTTGGCTACTATGAATTGTGCTGCTATAAACATGAGGAAAGGAAGGGGAAATGAGTAGAATAAAGATATGCCATATGCAGGACCCCAATAATCTCAATGAATGTAAACATTATATATTATATATTATAAGCATGAGCTAAGATTAATAAAATTAACAAGATTGGAAATGGGGAAAGGGGAATTAGAGGAGGAGGGGAACAAGGGAAAGGTATTAAAAAAGAAACAATTTGTGTTATGTACCTGAACTCACTCTCCAAGATGATTGTAAACTGCATGTTCTGCAAATACATATTAATAAAAAAAACAATAAAAAAGAAAGAAAATATTGCCAAGAAATCAGTCAATCAATTAAGATACAATGTTAGTAACAATTGCTTACCTGGATTATTTTCCAAAGATAGGATTTTTATCTTTAATATTGTTTTTAAGGATTTATAAATACATTTATTGGTGGCATTATAGAATGATGAATGCAGACAATAGAATACAAAGAAATTGCACTTAAAAGGGAACATTAAATCTTAAAAAATACAGCATATTTAATAAATTAATTGATTTGCATATTTGTTTAGACTTACAATATAAAGCTAATTCCAAAGCTTTCAAGTTGATCTTTTTCTTTTGTTGTAGTTACAGGAAATATGATTACTTTTGCTTGTACTTAACCTAAAAACAAGAATCTGAAAGGTGATACTGAAGCAGCCAGTTAATCAGAAATTTTAAAGGAGCTCTTCAAGAGGATAAAGCCACATGAAAGAAAAAAGCCTCACAACCACATATATAAATACAAAGAAAATATCAAGAAACAAAAGGATCATAGATGTATTCAATTCTGGTGTAACTGCAATTTCTGTTTAGCAACAATTCAACTAGCATTTGTTTACATGCCCATTTCAGAATATAAAACCATCAGTTTTCACTACAATTTTCTGACTTTATTCAATGTACAATTATTGTCTTAGTATGCTTTTATAATAATTTAAGAATATTATTTATATTACAGAATCATTAACAAAAGGGCCTTCAAACCCTGCTGAAAGCTACAATAAGTTTGGAGGCCAGATTTCAATTTATATAAAGCTACCTTCCATGAAAAGTTTACAACACCAAGGACAACGCAGTTCAGGGCTGTTTATTCGGAAATGCTCTATCTTTTCCTGCTGTCAGAGAATTACTTTAACATTTCTCCATTTTTGCCCTTGGCAATTAAAAATGGTTCAAAAAGAATTAGTTTGCCAAAATTTATCCTATCCAGCCATGTAATTATCATGTATGTGTATCACTAATAAAAATATTTACCAAGTTTTAGAGGTTATAGTATTATATTGTATTTATGAAGTCACTCTAGTAATTTCTAGTTATTTGTTATTTTTAAGAAAAATGATAAATTTTATCTGTTAACTTTTGCTTCATGTGATTATTATCTAACTTAATTATTCTATCTGACTTATGGTCAGTTACTGATAATGACTTCGAACACATCCATTAATTTTCCATATATGAGATATCCAAATATTATTTATGAAGTTGAATCTTATTTTAGCTAGTGGAGCTAACAGAAATTACATTAGAGATTTTAGTATATTTATAATGTAGATATTATGAAATGTTTGTATTAGTAATCAGTAAGAAATTTATCGATATTTTATGTTAAGTCTTATTTATATAAATATCTTAATTTTAATTTATGTTTTGTTTCCCTCCATAGAAAACTATTAATGCCATTTGTCAATTTCAGTACATCCTAAAGTAAAATGAATGAATGTATAAATTTTATAATTTTTACATTGCCTTTTGATGTAATTATTCTGTAATTTATTAGATTTACTTAGAGAAGATTCACTTTTACTGTTCATTTTTAATCATATCAGTTCACTTTTGTGATAATTTCTGAATCTTTACCAAAGTTTCCTTCATTTAATGAAGTGAAAGCTTCATGGTTTAATAAGGAAGTTATTTCTTTTTCTTAAAACAAGAGAAAATATTGATATATATCTTTGAATATGTTTTATGTGAAAGTCAAATTCACTAGTAATTGCATTTTAACATGATTATTCTTTCTTCATTAACTTCCATTGCAGTAAATTTAGATTTGACAAGAAATTTAAACTTTCATATCCTTTACACCTGAGGTTAACCACAAAAATCCTTTCTTTTGAGGTTAACCACAAAAATTTCTTTCTTTTAATTCTTGCTATTTAATTCTGTGTGAAATTTATTTGGCATATGGTAAAAATCATTTAAAATAATTGCATTTTTATGGCATCAATCAGATATAATTTCATGTGGAAAAACAATAACAAAATAAAACTTTCAGAAACTTTCCTAAGATTCTGGATCAAACTATAGCTTTTTTATTTTTAACAAATTCACTAATATGACCTGTACTAAAAGCCAGTAATGTTATTTTTCCAGTGGAAACATTTTAAACCACAAGCATTTGTTTCTTTTGATGATAGGAGATTAAAAATGAAATTATTTTAAGGCATGGGTTTTAAATTTAAAAATTATTTAAAACTATTTGTTTACAGGAAGTAAATCTTCACCAATCAGGTATTGAATATGTATTCTCCTGGGCTTTCACTGTTCATGGCAGTGGCACAGTGCAAAGGATGAGAGAGTACTCGTCTCGACGTCCAATTCAAACTTCAAAAAGGCCCAGAGGGACTGCCCTTAACCAAGTCCCCTCAGCATGAAAAAGTCTCATAAAGATAGCTCTTAACTGAAGCTGCGGTGGCCTTTTATTGATAGAACCAGGAAGAACAAGGACAAAAGAAGGATGTCTGTGCAGGAATTCATGTAGGGGACAGGGGAAGGTCAAGGTGGTCTGTTACATGATTGACATTAAGACCAATATAAGTGATAAATCAGAATATGGGAAGGAGAGGGCCAGAGCATTCATTCCTTTCGGCAGTGTGTTTTGATCCTACTTGGACTTGTGGCCCTATAGTGTATCATTTAATCTCTAAGTATGTATTCCTTTTTTTTTCTTACTTCAATTTTATTGGCAAGTTCAATTAGTGATTTAACATCGCAGTTCTTTTCTTATGCAGGTAAAGGACAAATCCTAGAGATACCACCACACCCACTAAGGCTGTCCCAGCAGCCACTGCTTTTGAAGCACCATCTCCAGCAACCCCATGCCCTCTGGAGTCTATGACATCTTTAAATGAAGGGTCATCTGACAACAGGAGAATAGGTCCTGGGAGGCTGACTGTAATTTTCTCCTCTTCAGTGGCCCCTGTGGCTCTTCTGTGCCTAGGTGGGGCAGGGCAAGTCACAGAACACAGAGGGGAGTCGGGAGAGAGCCGGTTGCACACCAAAGCACTGCAGTGGAAGTAGACCAGGGTAGAAAGCACCTGAGCCTCTGATACAAGAGCAAAGGTCTTCAAGTCGAACCTCTGATAGTGATAAGGATAGATCATGGAGGAACCAGCTGGATGGAAAGTGGTGTGGTAGCTGGCCAGGCCATATTCCCAGCCATCCACAACAATATTTCACTGAGGCTGAGAAGCTGGGTCCATAGTGGATGTTGCCTGGCAGTCATCCAAGACCAGATTGATGCCGGGATCATTCCTGTTTAGGACTCTCACCTCCATGTAGATTGGTCAGTGAAGGTATCTCACTATGGGATACTCCTTGTCTTTGTAAGGTTGTTGGTAGGACTGATCTGGGTAGGTTTGCAGGATCAATTTAAGTAGACCTGGCTTCACAGAGGCAACTGGAGGAGGAAGACTTTTGATGTTGGCATTTAGTAGCATGTCATCCCTATAGTAATAGCACTTCACTGTTATTCTGAATTCACTATCTGGATATTTTGCTTGGCAGAAGGTCTTTCCAGAGAGCATGTATTTCATTTTTATAGATGACTTTATCACCTTCAAACTTGTGCTTTGATCCACATCCATTCAGGGGTATATGAAACTGCACCAGCTCCTCAGACTGAGCTGTGAAGACAGGCTGGCAGGATGAGTTCCCCACTCTGAGGGTACCCAAGTTGAGAGCTGGTTTTGTTTGGTGGCTGTAGACCTCAAAGTCCATAAACCCATCTTGGGTACATAGCTCTCCTGTAACTATAGAAACTGGTGACTCACAGAGACACTCAGGATCAATCACCATGAACACTGTATCTGGTTGAAAGTAAAAGGCCAGCTTGAGTGAAGATAAGTAGAACTGATAGAGTAGGCACCTTTCAGAGAACTTGGTTTTGAGAAGAGTTTTGCTGAAGTGTAATCTCAAGCCATTTGTCGCTTCTACGTTGATCCCATTGTCTTGCAGCTGGTTCATAGTTTCTTCAGTGGTGGTTGCAAATGTTGCCCATTTGGAACCCAGATCTGAAATATAATTTCATTCTTGGGAAATACTGAAATCCTAGCACTTTGGTGTTTTAATGATATAACTTCTGAGTAACATTTACCTTCAACATTATGTGATAGGCAACAATAATCTAATCATATATTTTCTTAAATACAGTAGCTCAATTTGCTAATTGCTGCTTATTATCAAAATATATTCCTGCCTATTTGGATTCTTGCAGTGTTACACATTTTCAAGATTACTGCAGCCAGTTTCAAGATGCATGTTCCTTACAATTGAAATCTAAGAGTATTTGTACAAATTTTGTTTTTTCTTCAATCTGAACTTAATATTTTACTGAAGATTATCTAATTTATAAATCTACATTTTGCAAAATAAGTCATGTTACACAAGTATTTTGCAAATATTAAAGGCACTGTAAAAAATAAATTATGCAAGGTTAATAGCAATAATGATTTTAATGTTACAAAACTGGTGATTCTCCTAAAGTTTAAAATACATTATGAAAATACACCCCTCACTCATTCTGTCTCCATGATCTCAGATCAAACTAGCATATAGGAACATACACTGATGATTTTACCACTAATCATAGAAACTATTTACCAAAGAGCACAGAAATATTTTCATCAAAAGTCATACTAGTGCTTGCTGGCTGAAAATAAGCCCTAAAATAAAGAATCATTTCTACCACTCTCATCAAAATTATTCATTTTATGGAGTCCTAATAAGATAGGGGATTAGAGTATGGCAAAGCTGGCTGGGGAAGTAGGTGTAACCTGTTAATTACAAGATCCCTAAACACATATGTAGAACAGCTCCCAAAGCCCTGTACATGGGCTTCTCATGAGAACTCAAGCAAATTTTCAATATGATGGCCTAGACCTGACATCAGTATGAGGTGTGGGATCCCAGCACTGCCTCTCAGTACCCGTATGTAGAAAAACTCACTGGGCATACTGGCACTTGCCTATAATCCAAGCACTCAGGAGACTAAGGAAGGAGGATCACCATGAGTTCGAGGCCAGCTTGGGTTACATAATGAGTTCAAGGCAAGCCAGTTTCTCCCTCACTTTTAACTTTTACTTCTTAAAATAAACTTTGCTACTGCTTTTTGCTCATTTTGTTCAATTTTTGTTCAAGACAAAAAGAACCTGGAAGGAGAGGTGAGCAACCCAAAACCTGCTTACATTTGATTGGTGAGCCACTTTTAGAAGGAACTACCTGATAGTATTTTGGCATAGCCATCCAGGAGAATCAAAAGCCAGGAGATTCGGGTAACATTTTGGATTAGCTAGCCAGGAATAAAGCTCAAGTACAGAAACCAAGGTAAGGTCCATGTTGGACACAATTTTTGTATTTCTCTGTAAGGCATTTTTTCTTCTCTCCTTTTTTTCTCTTACTCTTTTCCCTAAGTAGGAGAGGGAATCTCTTCTCAAGGCACCAGGAAGGGGCTTCCTGGCCTGGCCATGGGGATTGAAGAAGCGAATTTAGGTTTTGTTTTGTTTTTTCTAGCTCACTCGATAGGTCTTGTTGTCCATATGTTTGTTTGTTGAACTTTGTTACTGTTTTTGGATATTAACCTCATCTCTGCTTACCTGTTTTGTAAATAGCTTTTCTTTCTTGGTATGTGTTGTGTTTGATTGCTACACTTTTGTTTTGGAAGTTAACTTAGTCTTCACTTACTCTAGTTTTTTAAATGGCTTTTTTCTTGGTTTGTGTTTTTGTGTGATGCTAGGATTAGGGTGTTTCTTTCCTGATTTGTGTAATGCTAGGATAAAGGGCGAGATGCTAAGATTGAGGATACCTCACACTGGGCATGGGTGGCTCCAATAAATAGGTATAGATCCTGCATGGAATCATGCAGCTAGACATGGGTTTAGATCAATTGCCTCCATCTTTTTCTTTCTTTACTAACTGGCCTTATGTGCTAAGCCTCTAATTTTGAAGAAAGATACAGAGGAACCTCATTTCTTTTTGAATTATTTTAACCAACACAGTTGCTTTTCCCCACACAGAAAAGAAAAGCAAGTTTTAAAAAAAAATGTCCGAGACTTTTGCCTGGATGGGGCAGCAGCCAGAAAAACTGTTCAAGTTGGCTTTAGCTGACTTGTTTACCCTCTGTCTCAAATCTCACCTGCGTCTATAGCTTGCTGGCTGGATTTCTTCCTTGTTTAAGTCCAGTTAATTTAAAACTTTATGCCTGATGACCTGAGCAGAACAAATAGTGTTTAAAATGTAATTAAAGAGATTGTGAGTATATAAAACAGAGCTACCCGTTTTCTTATTTTTTTATTGAAGTAAATGCAAGATACAGTTTTCCCAATTGGCTCCATTCTGGTTAAGGAGAGTCATCTAGGGCGTCAGAATACAAATAAAGTCATCAATGGACTCAAAATGTATGTTTAGCCATCAAGGGTTTCAGCTACATGGCTAAGGGAATTTTGTTTAGGGAAGTTCCGCCTTTACTTCACAGGAGTTAAAGTACTAGGTAAGGCCAACAAGTGGCTTCACCTCCTTCACTCTAATGATTTAATGGGTGCAAATATGGAGACAAAAGCCCATAGGAGGGCTGGGGATTTAGCTCAGTGGTTCTGCCACCTGCTTTGCAAGCGCAAGGTCCTGAGTTTGATCCCCGGTACCCCCTCCCCCCAAAAAAGCCCCTGGGAGATTTTCTTCTGTTACTAATGATGCTAGCATCATTTGGACAGAGGTGTCTGACTAGCCTATGTCAGAATCTCACAAGGGATGCTTTGTGGAGCCCTTGGATCTCCTCCTTCTGCATGAGATGCCATCTAAAAGACTCAAAACCTAGTCATTTCCTCTAATCTGAGCCAATGGGAAACATTTTAGGTTTTGCCACCAAACAGATATCACTGACTTTGCCACTAGGCCATATTCTTGATAAATGGGAAAGGTTTGATCTTGACAATCTAAAACAGGAGCAGCTTATGTACTTTTGCAATATGGTTTGCATTCAGTATGAACTGGGGGGGGGGTGCCAAGGGATAAGAATGGGGTGGTGCTTTAAATTATGAAACTATTTTCCAGTTACAGCATTTCTTCTTAAAACATACAAAGTGGAATTAAATACCTTCTGCTTAGGCTTCTGTAAGTCTATCAAAGGAAATGGTATGGAACTATGGTGTTTGGAGTGAGTCCTGAGGAGGAGAAAGATATTCTGGATGACTAGATCCTGAAACCCCAGAGTGTCTCTCAGGGGGATGAGGTTCTTGCTGACCCGTTTGGTGGGACTGGGAGATATCCTTGACTTCCTCCTGATAGTGTCCGGGGCACAAATCCCCCTCTAAATGACTCAGGAATTTCATTAGGACTTAGTGCCCCAGAGAGAATCAGTGTTCCTCAATACCCTCATCATGCTCCTCAGACAGCCTTAAGTTCTACTGGGTATACACAGACAGTTTCAAGCCCCACAGGTTGAGCTCAAAGTGGTGCTTCTTACTACTCTAATTCATAACTCATCATGCCCCTACGATACGTTCCAGGGGTGAAAAGGAATACTATTTGCAGACCCCTTTTTCAATTACAGATGTAGAAGAACCTAAGAACTATGCAAATGAACAATATGCTTTAAAAAGGAAAAGAAACCACCATGGAAAGGTTATTCCTTCCCTCACCAAAACCAAACTGGGACTGTAATACTAGTGGGTGACTATGAAAAATATCTGACACACTAGTTGCTCTTACCATGGAGATAAAGAAGTGTACTAAGTCTTTCATAAGTATACTAATACAGATAGATCTTCCAGGGGATGTGAAGTATAATGAGGCATCAGTTCATCTGTCAATCAACCCTAGATATTTGGTATAAGCTATGAAAACTTCCGATGGGGGTCACAGACACCTATGGCCCAATTGCTGGATATTTTTTATTTTCAACAATCATCATCCAGAGGAAAGACAAAAGAGAAAGCCTAGGATTATAGCAATTGCAATTGACAATGCTTTAAGCCCATGTAGGTTGTCTAAGGAAATATTGAAGGACAGATGAAGTTCCTGTTTTCAAATGTAAGAAGACTGTAAATTGGGAGTGGAAGTTCACCAAGCCTCTGCATGTGTCCTGCTCTATATGACAACTAATGTGCCTAACTTGTGGCATTGGAGGTTTTACTGTCCCTACTCTCAGATAGGGGCTAGACCAGCTAGAATCATCATTTCCTGCTCTGATGACTAAAGAGGCCCAGGGGACCTGTAATTCTCATGGACATCACCATCTCTTCCAAGGAACACTGGGTAATCTTAGACATCATGCGTGAGCCAATTCAGTTATTTCATTCTGTTTTGACTTACTTCTTTAGAAAACCCTCCTCTGGATCTATAACCATAATTAGAGTTGAGCCTTAATCACAGATTCTTTGCAGCTGTATTAACAGAAGAAATTGCAAAGTTAACTTTGGGATAGTGACCTGACTCCCCATCAGGTCAGAAGCGATTCTGGAGATAAAAGGTTACTGTGGTCAATAGGGAAATGGATTACCAAGTATCAGGCTATGCTCTTATTCACCCCTGATGTTATTATAAAAAATTTGCACTACTATTAACCCCGGTTCTTTGATTCCTGCAGGCCCAGACATTAGCCAATCTTATGAACAAGTGACTTCCCAGACCTGTGCAAGCAGACAGGATATCAGTGTCCTGCCCCTCCAAATCCCTGAGAATGTGTGGTTCACTGATGGAAGTAGCCTTGTCAATCATCTATAAAGCACATGCAGGAAATTCTACAACTCCTAGAGGCCATCCATCTTTCCAGGCAGGTCACAGTGATGCATTATAAAGGACACCAAAGAGACATGTCTGAAGTCTCCTTGGGAAAGCAAAGATATCCCTACAGCCCCTCAAGGCCTTAGCATTACTCCAAGTTCCTGAGGAACCATTCTAGTCCTTCCTCAAGGAACATAGTGACAAGATATACAAATCCTACATGGGAAGTCAGCCTCAATTATATGGAA